ACCTTTAAAGGACCTCCCCAGCTTCTGCCAAGGTCCCCTGGAGTGGAGGGTGGCCTTGATGGGGTCACATGAGGCAAGGGCACTGGGAGCTGAGGGTGCCTGCCTCTTAGGAGGGTGTTTCTCTGAGGATAAGAGAGTCCCTGGTTGGCTTTCAGGGGTTCTGAACTCCTGGGGATGTGCACAAGATGTGTGTATCCCTTAAATGTGTCTGTTGCCTTCAACTGCAGGGCGGGGGCTGGAGGGAGCCCTTGCAGAAGCTGGGCGGGAGGATGGAGCTGGCTTTGGCGGAGCTTGGTCTGGACAGGAGAGAAGTAATGATAATGACAATGAGATGTCATATTTACTGACCACCTACTGTGTGCTAGGTGCTAAGATTCTCAGAGCTGGAATTCCCTCCACCAAGCCTCGTGCTTGCTTACATACCCCCAGCTATGGGGAGCTCATGACCTCCTGAGGCCTTTTCCTATACTTTGGTATGCTTCAGTTCCCATCCAAACTTCTCATTCTGGCCCAGAGGCCTACACGATCTGCTTGCTGGCCTTTCCTGTGCAGTGCAGGCTCCCCCCTGGCCTGGCCCTGTCTGTGCCCTGTCTCCAGTGCTTCCCCCACCAGGATGGCTATAGTTGGTCTTGTGATGGTTCCTACTTTATTCAGCACACCTCACATGTGTTAGCTCCCTCACTCCTCGCAGCAGCCCTGTAGGTACTGATCTGCATTTTACAGAGGGGGAAACTGAGGTCCAGAGAGCCCATAGGGGCAGAACTAGTGAGTGTGGCTCTGGGTGCACCCCTAGGCAGGTGCCTTGGCACTGCCTGCCTCTCCCACCTGGAGACACGCCTGCAGCCACGTGGCTGGCCCTTCCCTCTCTCCCTGTGTGCCTGGTGTTGTGGCTGGGTGTCCCTCCCTCTCCTCCTCATGAGACCATCACTTGTTCAGGTGTTACACTTATGGGCTAACAGAAAAGAGACACAATAGCAACAACATAATTGTAGCTACTAATGCATGCTGGGTAGACTCCAAGCATGGTAACTCAGGGCTCCAGATAAGTCCACCATGCAGGCCTCAGTATGTTGTCCCCATTTTACAGAGGAGGAAATTGAGACCCAGAGCAGTTAAGTAAGTTCTCCATGGCCACATAGCTAGAAGTGGCAGAGCCAGGAGTTCAGCCTGGGAGGGCCACCAGCAGCTGGTTGCCTGTCCATGCAAGGAGCTCACACACACCCCTCTTCTCACTGGCGGCCCGGCTGAGGAATTTGCGGTCATCCTGTCAGGGTAGTCCTGGCCCAAGCACTGTCCTGGGTCCTGTGCACACCCTTGTATCATGAACTGTGTCTCACCCCCCACCCCCCCGACCCAGGTCCTCACTGGCCCAGGTAACCAGCCCCCACTTCCTTCTGCTTTTGGTCCTGAATGCAGTCTCCCTGTCCCTTCCCTTCCTGTGATGTGGTTCCGGCACCATGACAGGGCCACAGCCAGGCTCTGCCTGTTCCGATCTGACTGTCTGGAAAGTGGCCGTTTGCCTGCCTTCCTAGAAGTTACCTTGCTTCACTCTGGGACACAGGCCTCTTTTGTTCCCGCAGTAGGACGTCCTGTTCCAGAATGGCCAAGCTGTTCTGTCCAGAAAAAAATCCCCTCCTTCCAGGGCTAATATGAATATTAATGACTCTCAGCAGGCCTGTGTGGCAGGTACTCCTACCTGCCCTGGTGGACATGGGGCCCAGAAAAGGAGAGTTACAGGCCTGAGGCCACAAAGCCAGGATTCAAGCCCACTGGTCCAGCTGCCCCTATTCTGTGAGGCAGTCTCTGAGCCCACCCCCACAGTTGGCAGAGCCCCCAGGTACTGTTGGACAGGTTGTACACTGCACAACTCTAGGGGGCAACATTCCCACTGCAGTCCTCCAGGCTTGGCTCTTTACAGTAATGGCTTTTGGCAGTGCAGGGGCACCTTCACACCAGGTGCTATGTGCCAGTGGTGGTGCTGACTTTATGGGCTGCTCGGGAGTCACCGGACCCCTGTCTTTCCCTGTCCTGCACCTCAGCAACACAAATCTTGGTACTGATCCTTGCGCACCAGGGATCGAGCCCCGTGCTAAGCTCCCTGCAGGTAATGAGCTCACAATTATTAAACTGTTGCTGTGTGCCAAGCACTGCTCCCAACACCCACTGCCTTTACTGTCTTTGGAGGCCGATCTGTCATTTCCTGTCTCCAGGCGGGGAACTGAGCCTCAGAGAGCTTGGTGACTTTCCACGGACGCCCATTCAGGAGGTGGCAGAGCTCACTGCCTGCAGGGGCTGTGTCTTATCCACCTGGCTCCTCTGGCCCCTGTGTGCCCCCCAGGCCTCTGGTGGCTACTCTTTGGGGGAATGTGGGTGAGGGTGTCAGGCAGGGATCTTCAGTTCCCAGTTCTTCAGTTCATGTGGGACGGGGGCTTACAGGTGGGCAGCTTGCTCTCAGGCCTGGCTCTCCCTTGGCTGAGGTGTCCCCATAGCGAGAGGGCTGCCTTTGACCTCTGAGACAAGTTCTGAAAGACGGGTGGCTCCCAAGGTCTTCATGAGATGAGGAAGGAAAGTTAATCCTGGAATGTTCTTGAGTTTGCTCAGGGCTCCCAGTAGAGTAGGGGCCTGAGAGGATCCTGCTGTTCCAGCCCTGGGTGACCCCAGCAAGCCATTGTCCTCTTTGAGCCTTTGCTCTGGTGTTATCAGTCCCATGGGCCAGGAGGGTGCCTGGGGCCCAGGAAGACTTGGATTTGCTGGTGGCACGGTCTCTGTGGCTCTCTGCTTCTCCTGCCCAGAACAGGCGCCCCTGCTCAGAAGCTGCATGTCCAAGCCCCGCCAGAGCAGGTGTTCCTGGCAGGGGAGCACAGGCCCCAGCTCTGACTACCATGATACGTTGATGCCACTTCCTTGCTGGCACAGGGCTGCAGTGACACACACCACCCGGCAAGGCTCTGTTGCGGAGGCCAGGCCCTCTGTGGACGCTGAGGCAGTCGGCACAGCCAGGAGGTGCACTCGGCCCTTTGCTCAGGCCTCGGCTGCTCTGTCTTGCTAGTTACCCTGGACCATACCACCATCACTCTGAGCCTCAGTTTCCTCACTTGGCAAATGGGATAGCTGGGCTACCTTACTCCAGAAGTATGCTGAGCACTGCTGGGTGCCAGCCCCAGTTGGTGCCCTGGGATGTGATGTGGAGTGCCAGCCTCCAAGCTCAGAAACCTGGCTGCTTTCTGGGGGTGGAGCCCTGGGCACCAGGGGTGGCTAAGCCAGCTTGTCCTCTGTGCCTCCAGGCCAGGCCCCGTGCCTGGGGCTTAGGCCCCTCTGCTGCCCACCTGAGCCTTTCCCAGGCGTTGTTCTGCTCCCTGGCGTGCCATGGGATCAAGCGATCCACCCACAGGGCCAGGCCAGAGGTGGCTACCAGCCCCTACCAGTCAGCCAGTTTGGAGACAGCTGTTCCAAGGCCACCATATAACCGACCTCTCAACTGTGTGGCCCCAGGTCCAGGAACCGGGCTGTTGGGCTTGGTGCTCCCTGTGTGTGCACTGGGTGTGTGCATGTGTACCTGTGTGTGGTGTGCACGTGTGCGTGAGTGCACCTGTGTGTGCAATGCACCCATGTTGGCAACATGCATGTGAATGGCATGGGTATGTCCATGTGAGTGTGCAGGTGTGTGTGCAAACATGTACGGGCCTATTGTGTGGCATGCATTGGGGCTTGAGAGGAACGCCCCTGTAACAGCTCTCCATCCTCGGAGCTTGCTGTGCTGCCTCTGTCATGTAAGTGCATTTACTGGGCACCCACTGTGCCCCAGGTGCTGGGCTGGTGGGGGGGGGCAGTGGGTACCACAGGGAGCCAGACAGACACATCTTTCTTCATGGAGCTGATGGTCTAGGGGCACAGACTGACACTCATCAAAGAGTTGAAAACTAAAATTGCAATAGTGGCAGCAGGGGCCAGGAAAGAGGCACATAGTGCTGTGGGAGTCTAGAATGGGATGCAATCCTGGAAGGCTTTCCTGAGAAAGTGACTTTTGAACTAAGCATCAAAGGATACATGGGAGGAAGCAAGGGAGGAAGAGGGGAGGCAAGAGCATTCCAGATAGGGAAACAGTCCATGCAAATGTCCTGCCAGGAGACAGACCAAGGGCAGGTCAGTGCAGGTGGAGCACAGAGGAGGAGCGTGTGTGTTGGGTGGGTAGTGGAATTTCATTGGCAGGGCCAGGGCCATGGGGTGGGGGTGCCTCAAACCCCCCAAGTCAGTGACAACAGCCTGAGCCCTGTGGCCCAGCCCTGGTCCTTACCTCTCCCATTAGAGCTGCTCCTTACCTCTCCCATTAGAGCTGCTCCTTCCCAGAGGCCTCTTGGCTGTGGCAGCGTTTGCTCCCAGGCAGGCTCAGGCCAAGAGAGGGAGGTGGCAGGGAACCATTCACCTCGCAGAAGTACCCAGCAGGCTTGTAGTTTTGTCTGGGGACATCTTTGGGGGCCCAGATTCCAGGAAAGCCCAGGGTCCAGGAGTCGGGTGGGGCTCAAATCTGAGGACCCTGCCTCTGCTGTAATGGATGAAGAGAAGAGTCAGGAGCTCCTTGCGTGCTGAGAAGACACCTCTGCTGTGGCTTGTGGCTTGGGCTCATGGCTCTCTGGATGGGCTTCACCCCAGAGACCTTTTTGGAGGCCCCAGTGTCAAGTTCTGGTCTAAGCAGGGAGCCTGAGGCATGGCTGCAGTCAGAGCCAGGGTGACCCATTGCACTGGGGTGGGGGGGGCGTTTAGGAGCGTGCCTCCCCAGCTCTGGGGGCTTGAGGGCCCGGTGGGTGCACACTAGGCCCAGATGCAGAAGGGGGCTTGCCCTGCTAGTACCAACCTTTGATTATTTGCAGTCTTGTCATCCTGGAGGGGTGTCAGGGCTTGGGACAGTGACTCCCCCTACCTCCAACATTCACTCAAAGCCCTTGGAGGCAGGTGCTGGGTAGGTGGGCCCTGCCTGGCTGACCACCGGCCATGTCCCATAGGTTCTCACGCTCCGACGAGCTGTCACGGCACCGGCGCTCCCACTCAGGCGTGAAGCCCTACCAGTGTCCGGTGTGCGAGAAGAAGTTTGCACGGAGTGACCACCTCTCCAAGCACATCAAGGTGCACCGCTTCCCCCGGAGCAGCCGCGCTGCAGTGCGCCCTGCAAACTGAGCACAGCCGGTGGCCCCCCCACCCCCACCCTTTATTTTGTAGCAATAATTTATTTGCCTCCTCCAGGAGGATGTGACAATGTTACCAACACACCTTCTGAAAACCTGGAGGTGCTGGGAGAGGGGGCTGGCGTGGGAGGCAGGAACCCAGAGCCCCCCTCCTGCTGCCTTTTCTGGAAAAGCTGCAGCCATGCCCACGCCCCGCACCTGGGCTGGAGGCCAGCTGCCCCACCTTCGTGCCTTGTGCCTTTAAGCCTGCCAGCCTCTGCTGCAGTGGCCACGGGGCCTGGCCCTTTTCTCTCTGGGCTCCCCCGCTGGGCCCCAGGCCAGCACTTTATTGCTTGGGAAGAAGAAATGTGCAGTTTTGAAATGTCCATTCCCAGAGGGAGCCATGCTGGGAGGAAGGAGATGGGCCAGAAGCCCAGGGCTGCACTGTGCTGGAGGGTGGCTTTGTCCGGGATGCCTGGCTCAGCCCGACTACCGGGGTGCTGGCCATGGGTCAGGCATGCAGGACCTGGCCTCCCGGATGAAGCAGACTTGAAGTGAAAAGCCTCCTCTTTGAGGGGCTGGCAGTGCTTGTGCTTAAGTTGAATGTGCAGGGCAGACAAGACAGATGCTGGCTAGCCCAGAGCGTCTGTACCCAGCGTGATGCATCCTGTGCTCCTATTTCCAGACAAATCCAGACACCAGCCTCCAGGGTCACCTTTGGGAGGAGAGGGGTACAGACTGCATCTCCTATAAAAGGACTAGATAAAGCCTTGCAATCCTGATTTAGAAATGCATTCCTTATTTTGTCTAGAAATTAATATTGAACTAGCTTGTTTTGACAGGTTTATTTCACATCCTATGAATGTATGTAAATAAGCTGTACATAGGTACATCTACATAAAATATCTTTTAATAACATCAACATTTGTGTAAATTTGAAATAAAAAATCTATAAAGCTGGTGTACATATGTTACAATTATGTATATTTTCTTTGGTCCTTCATAAAAATATATTTACTTTACCAATAAAAAGAAAAAAGAACTCAATCCTATGGCATTTGTGTGCCATTTTCTTCTCTTCTGCCAGGAAATGGTGATTCTGGAGCCCGAGTGTCTGTGTGGGCATCTGCAGTCTTCAGGGGACCTTGGCTTGTACCTGGAGGGATAGAGGCCCCTCCTTTGGGGGCCAGCTCCTGGTCCGGAGGAGCAGGGTTCCCACACAGCCCCACCTCCACGCCGGCTACTGGGCTTCTGCGCACTTCAGTTTCCCAGAGGGCTCCCTCTCCTCTCCACCAACCAGATCCACCCCCTGTCACAGTGTCAGCTATGGGAAGCCACTGGGGGCCAGGCAAGGCTGCAGGGATTGCCCTGTGTGCTGGGGGGCAGATCACGGTGCCTCTTGGACTCCCCTTAGGAAATGGCATGTTACTTCCTACTGGCACGGGTGAGTGGGAATGGATTCATAATCTTGACCAAGTGAAGGAGAGACTTGGAGAGGCCGGTGTGTGGAGTCAGGCACCCCGTCGCCTCCCCTCTCCTCCAGATGCTCTGAACTCTGGGGGTTTGGGGCCTCCCAAACTTTCCCAGATGTTTGGGGGCTCTGCCGTATGCTTACACAGTTGAGGTCTGGACCCATCTACACATCCCAGGTGGGCTGAAAGCTGTGGCACCAGTAACCAGGGAACTCAGTGGGGTGGCCAAGGTGGAGCTGGGCAGACTGGACTGAGTGGCCACAGTGACAGGGTTGTCCTGGTTCTGTCCACATGTGAGAGGCAAGCATCTTCCAGATGTGATCCTTCCCACAGAAGCCTGATGCGTGTCCTGGCAGGTGTTTCTCAGTGACACCCTTGGAGGGCTGGAGGCAGGTGGCGAGGCACCATGGGTTTCCACAGAGATGTCCAAGCGAGGGTGTGTATGTGTAGGTGTGTGTGTGCACGTGCATGCACAACGTCATGCACCTCCAGAGGTGGAGGCATTATTCCTACTGACCTAAGAGCGTCTGCCACCACTGTGTGTCCTGCTGGGTGGGAGCTGCCTTCCTGTGTGCCCAGCACACTGCATGGCGACCAGAGAATGGATACCCCCTCCTCACCAGCCCTGGGTCTGCAGAAAGGACTCGACCTTGTGACCTCTGCCCTTTGCTCCTGACCGGATGTACCCTCTGGAGCCAAACATGCTCTGGGGAAGTGCATTGATTTCCAGGTGCGTTAACATCACCTTTCCTCATCCATAAACAAACAATGCAGCCTAGGTAAGTGGGTCACTGGAGGTCAGGGTGGTCACACAGGTGAGGACAAGGCTGGGAGCTCATGCACCAACTTGGAATGCTGCTTGTTTCATCTGTATGTGTCCCTGTCCTCCGAAGCCCACTCACTCTGAGTCCGCAGTCCCTGCCCCACCTTCTATCCAGGCTGAGGCTAGGCTGGCTGTGTGTGCAGGGCAGTCTATACCATCACCTCCAGTCTGGGCTCCAGATTGCCCACCAGATGCCCTGTTGGCACCCTTGTCAAGCACTTGCCCGTGGTGAGCAGCACAGTCCAGGTCTCTGCTTCCTGGAGGTGTCCGCTAAGAGAGGGCTAGTAAGAAGGGCAAAGCAGAGGGAGCAGGGGTGTGACGTGAAGGGGTGGGGGTGTGAATTGGGGTGTCTCTTGATTCTCACTCCATCCCTTTGGTGAGGGTCTTAAACCTCTCTGGATTTTAGCTTCTTCCCCCTGCAGAGCAGACATGTGAACAGTAGAGTGAAGCACTTGGAACAGCTATGGAGACCCTCCCCAGGGTGTGAGCCTGTCCTGCTGCCAGAGGGGCGGCTGGGAGGCAGGGACTCCGTTCTGTGCTGTGACCTGCGCCAGCACCACTGTGGCGGCACCCATGTGAGCATCGAGAACTCTGGTGAGGTGCTTGGCTTGTCTCCTGCCTCTGGGAGACCCCCACATGCCACCATCTTTGTTACCCTTTGTGACTTCTGAGGATGGAAGAAGTGTTTGTCTTGGCCTGTGAGACAAGAGCCACTGTGCCCACACTTGTTTGTAGTAGGAGAGGAATCTAAAGGTTGCAGAGCAGAAACTTAGCCTTCACAGCCCTTGGGCGCCCCGCCTTGCCTGATATCCCTCCCCCAAAGCACACAGCGGGGACAGAAGTACCCTTTACTGAGAACTATGCCCAACAGAGTATGGGTCGGGGTGCTGTTTCCAGGAAACCCCCAAACACTGGATCACACGAAGTACAAGTTTAGTTTCTCTGTTTAAACAGTCTGGAAGGGAACAGCGGCTCCAGTGTGGGACACCCAGGTCCCTTTCTCTCGTTGCCCTCCATGCCCTAGGGTGTTTTTGCTCCAGGATGGCTCACCAGGGTACCAGGCCAGCCTGCAGAAGGCAGGCGAGGGCCCGGGTGTTTCCTTTCTCCCTGCAAGGGCTCAGGCTGCGATTTGCACACTCCCATCCACTCACATCGCAGGGGCCAGGACTCAGTTACATGGCCTCATCTGCTGCAAAGGAAGCTGGACAATGTAGTCTAAATGTGAGAGACTATGGCACAGCTAAAATTTCGGGGTTCTGTTACAGAAGGAGCAGTAGAGGCGGAGTGTGTTTTCTCTGCCAACACACGCTGTGGCTTGGCGCCATGCCTGGTACTGTGCACACGGCATGCTTGTTGCTGTCCTGGAGCTGGGCAGCTTGGTGCCCGTGCTGCACAGGGGTCCTGGGGGGCCTGGTGGGTCTGCTTGCCCTTGGCCTTGTCCACATCATCAGAATGGGTGTCACTGGCCAGTAGGGGACCAAGAGTCAGGCTTCCAGGGACAGCAGGGCATCAGGAAGGGAAATGCTGTGGGAACAGGGGCCAAGATGCTTTGGTTGACAAGCCAAGGCTGCAAATGGCAGAATCTTGACCCATATGGACAAAAGTACACAAACCAAAACCGGGTCCTCATAACGTCACCATTGTGACTCCTGGGTGGGCACAGAATCTATGCAAGTGCCACGGGGGCCAAGGGGACAGAGCAGAAGGATCCCGGGCTCAGGGCTTCGAGGGGATTGCCTGTGCTCCACAGGGTCAGAGCACTGAGGTCCCCGGGCTGGGGATGGGCGTATGGCCCGCAGAGCTGTCCTTGTGACAAGGGGCTTTCAATGTCATGTAAGGTGACCAGGAGTAGGGGCAAGGTCGGTCCTTTCTGACAAACACCACAGCTGAACAGATCCCGCTTTGAGAGAAGAAAAAGATGAAGACGAATGCAATGGGTCATTCGAAAGACAGTACACGTGGGCAACGGGAGCCGTGTTCAGAGGTCCAGGACAGCACTCACCTTGGTACCGCCGCGGGCCCAGGCAGCCCCTGTGGAAAGTCCCGTTACCTCCAAAGCAGAGTCACTGTGGCTGGGAAGCCACAGAGGGAGCTCAGGCCAGAAAACAAGAGCCACTGCTTCAGAGGGGAGGAGGGCAGACGCAAGGAAACAGAAGCTGCGGCAGCAGAGTTCAAACCTGCCTTGGGGACAGCGAGGAGGGGAGGGGACCAACCCACCCAGACCTCCCAGGGCCTAGCGGGGAGGAAGGTGACAAGGTGGTAGGGTGGAAAACAAAAAGCCAGTGACTGGCTCCTGGGGGTTCTGGGTCGGACTCCAGAACAAACAACACACATACTCATGGACAGCACATATAATATGCAACATACTGATAACACAGATAGATAACATAATATATATAACATACCAATATATAATACACTAACATGTCACATACACTAATACACAGCACTCACACCATAGCATACTTATATAGAACATACTAATATGTAACATACAATACACTAATGTATAACAATTCACAGCATGCACGACATACTAATATATAAAATAACACACTAATACATAGCATATATGACACACTAATACATAGTATACTGATATATAGCATATATAACATGCTAATATGTACCATATAATACACTAAAATAACACATAATCACTAATACATAACATACATAACATGATATACTAATATATATAATATATGATATACTGACATATAAAATATATAACAATATATAACATGCATACTAATATAACTATAATGTAATGATATGTGACTAAAGAGCATAATACATGATTATAACTACATACACACATGACATCAGTGGAAGACTGGGGAGAATGCCTCCCCCTCCGAGGGCAGGAGAGCATGGTGGGTGAGGCCTAGAGGCAGACGGTTAGAATGAGGCCATCTGAACCTGTCTGAACCTCAGGGTCTCTATCTGTGATGTCAGTGTGACAATATGATCTCCCAGGCTGTATGAAGCTGGGGTGAGTTAGCACATCTATAACTTCAGACCCCTTGCGTGCTGCGTGTGAGGCGACCGCACACGATGAGGAAGACTGAAGCCCGCAGCTCCCTGTAGCCTGGCCAGTCCCAGGTGGGGAGGCACCTCAGCGCCTGTCAAGAAGGAGCCCCCAAGGAGGGAGGTCTGCTCCCTGAGACCAGGGAGCTTCCAGCACTGTCCGGCCTTCTCTGTGCTGGTTCATCTGCTCGACCTCTAGGAGCTCCCTAGGCACATGGACATGCCATCATGCCCTTGGCTAGAGATCCGAGGCTGGTCCACCGGCTGGTCATCGCTCACCTGTTCCAGTGTCAGGCTTGGGAACTGGCCTTCGACCCTGAGCTGATCTGAGCTGCCACTGTAACGCCCAGCGCAGTCACTGTGCTGGGGGGCTGCTGGTAGCCGGGAGCAGTGGGATGGCCACTCCTCTTGCCAGAAGATTCTGTCCAGGGCAAGAGCCCTGAAACAGATGAGCAGAACGAAGGGCCAGCTCAGGAGCAGGTCATGGCTGGACATCTGGCTAAATGAGTAAAAACACAGTTACGTAGAAATGAGCCTAAATAGCTGCAAATAAGTTTTAAACTCTGAATGCCGATGTCAAAGACTGGAGCAGCAAGAGAAGAGCTTTGCAACATAGAAGCAGTAACACAGTATCAGTGGCTCTGAGCCCCAGGCTAGCGAACAGACTCAGAAGTTTGTATGAATGCTTGACACTGTCTCTTAAGATCCTCCTCTTTCCCAGACAAGTCT